CCTGCCGGTGGAGAGGCAGCCCGTTGGCCCCCGCTGTAACACACTGCATCAGTGTTTTTTATGGTATGGATCTTTGGCAGAGGAGAAGATATGGAGGGAGAAAAACAAGGGAGAGAGAGGGAAGGGTGGGGTCCTGCAGCACCGAGGCTGGTTGCCATAGAGCGACAGAGTCTGGTTCAGACACTCCCAGGCTGAAGGAAGGAGACCCAATTACTGCCTTTGGCCACTCAACACACACTGCCCTAACCCCCTAACCTTACCATCACAAACCCCCCGTATTTTAACCCTCTCCCTAATCCTAATCTAATCCCAAATCAAGTCCTAATTCCAAAGAAATCCTGAAATTATAAATATCCTGTCACTCAGTGGGGACCTGCAAAATATGCGTCCCCACAACAGTAGTTTGTCGTATATGTATGTATGTGTATATATGTATGTATGTATATATATGTATATATGTATGCTAACGATCTCCACCAAAGTTTAGCTGAAGTTGATTTTCCATTTTCTTAATTGCGTCTGACAACAGCAGCCAAGTTCCTCAAAGAGCTCTGGGAAATCTTACTTGTGAAGGGCATTACTCAGCAGAACAGGTCTAGAGCAGAGGTCCGGGACCTCTAGGGGGCAGTGGAGGTATTACAGAGGGATGTGAAATTTTTGCTCAAGCGTACTCACCGAGCTGGAATGGCGCTGATGGGCTTCTTGTAGATGGTGATGAGTTTGTCCAGCACCACGTCGGCCGTGGTGAAGACGCGGTAAGAGTGCAGGAAGGTGTTGAGGAAGTCGATGGAGAGGAACCGCAGGTCCGTCAGCCTCTCCAGCAGACGCTCCACGCTGGCGTAGCGGATTTGCAACACCTTGCAGGAGTTCATCATTTTGCTGAATCGGATGTCCACGTCGTCGCAGTACAGACTGGAGTCAGACCTGGGGAAAAAAGGTTGATATTAAAAAAGATGAGGAAAAAGAGAAGTGGACGGAGAACGACGGCAAGAGCTCAACAAGGAAGGACGATTCTCACTTGATCATCTGTGGAACTGTGACTTTGGAGTTCTCCTCGAAGGCGTTCATCATCAGGCCGTTGCACCGGATGTTGTCAATGCACTGGAGGACAGATAGAGTCAGAGGAACGACGGGAAACATCAGCACCATCTTCCACGTCTCTGTTGAATTGCTCGGAGCTGAGACGTTTGCTAACCCACCTGGCTGATGTCACTGGTCCATGCAGACTTCTCCTGCCTTGAAGACGCCACCAGGATGACTGTGAATGACTGACTGTCCTTCGGCTCCACAACGATCTTGAAGTCCAGGTGCTCCAGGTCCTGACCGGTCTTCTCTGATTTGGCTTGAGGAGAGAAAGACAAAACTTTAGGGATGTGTTTTAAACCTCCATGTAGTCAAAGAATGAAAAGAAGAAGAAGAAAAACGCACAAAATAAAAACATGAAGAAAGAAGGCCAATTAAAGTTAAGTCAACAAGGTAGCTGAATATAAAAGCTAAAAAAAATAATAATTAAAACATAAACATAAAAAAATTAAAGATAAGATTTTTATTTATTAAACCATTTATTATTTAAAGATTAAAAAATAAAAAATAAAAAAGACTAAAAAAATATATTTGAAAGTTTGAAAGCAACAAAAAATGAAGTCTGCAGTGAAAAGTAAAAATAGCTTAAACCAGCAATAGTGATGGCTAAAGGTTAGCCAAAAACATAAACACAGCCATTATAACCAAGCCAAACTCCAGTTGTTCAATTTGCACAACTCCATATATGGAACACACACTGCAGTGTGTATTTCTGTTGCATAAATACGACTCACACTCATCGTCTGTTCCTTCAGGATCCTCCATCAGTGTAGAGTCTATGAGAGAGACCACGCCGTTCTACCAAAAAAAGAACACAAAAACATAAGAAAAAGCTGAAAACAGTCTTAAAAAACATAATTTAAAGTAAGCTTAAAAATAGCTACAAGTTAGTCGAACCCGTTACATAGATTAAACGTTGCTACAAAGACCAAAAACCAGAGCATACTCAGTTGTGAAGAGTGTAGTAGCCTGTAGTTAGCTCAGCATTAGCTCCGTCCTGGTCAAAGGCACTAGAGGAAACAGCTGTAGCTCTAACTGGTGAAGCAGAGTTCGTGCTCGTACCTTGGTGAGGTGCAGCTTCCCTCCTGAACCTCTGGTGCAGATGATGAGATGCTTGGAGAAGAGGAAGCACTGCCGCTCTCCCTCCTTCTTCAGAGACAGAGAGCCCAGTCGCCCACGGGTGATCTTACCTTTCTCGCTCATCGGCACCTGGATAAGAGACCCTGCGAGGGGGGAATAAAGGAGAGTGTGTCTCAAATAAAAGGAAGGAGGAGGAGAATGGAGATTTGGAGAGAGATACATGTATGAATAAATTAGTCACAAAAACACAGGGCGACAATAAGGAGCAGGAAGAAGACAAACTGTCCCTCGGGGCTGGAGATTCGTAGTAGCCAAATATGTAGCAAATATACTGAACACTTTGCCAAAACATGATTTGATATATCAGTCTGACAATAGCAGAAAAAAAAATTAAAGATAAAAAGTTAGTTGTCTGGAGAAATAGCCAAAAAAGTTAAGTTAAAAAAAAGTCCAAAAGTCAAGAAATGTGACAAGAGCTGACATTTAAAATTAATTTTCCCACAGGACGTATTTGCTTCAAGATGGATAGAGATTCCTCAGTACAGAGAGTTACTTTTCAGAGTGAGGAGAGACTGGAGAGTTACCTTGTCTAACAAATGTCTGGCTGGTGTCCAGGAGAATCTCGCAGCCTTCTACGATCATCCGCTCTATTGCCAGGTTCTTCCTGATGTTCTCTGTTTCGCTCACCTCATCGTGCATGATTCTGAGGAAAAAAAAAAAAAAATTAAACCCTCCTCATTTTCTTTAAATAATGTCCCCTAACTACCCTCATGTACTTTTCTGCCACTCCTGACCTCCGCATTACAGTACTTCATTACCTGGAGAGTTCTTCCAGTTTAGACTTGGCGTAGTCCAGACTGTTCCTCTCCACGTGTTCATGTGGCGTGTGGGCCAGGAGTTCATGCAGGGTGAGAATGTAGCGAGGGATCTGTGGGAATCTGTGGGGAAAAAAAAAAAAGCGTTGCCGCGGTAAAATTGACATCAAGAGCCGGCGAATAAAACCATGAAAAGAAATGCACATAAACGAGTGAGAGGGTGAACAGAGCAAGCATGAAGAGACTGTACAATCAGTAGAGAAGAATAACATGTAGTCGTCAGCGAATCGTCTCATTCACAGCACAGACTGAAATAGAAACAGGACTTATTTCTAGCTAAAGCTCTGGAAAAAAAAGTGTATATTTTTAGGCAGCTTTTTAGGCGCACAAGTGAACTGCATGTTTCAGCAGAGAAATAAAACAAGGTGTAATTGGACGGTGGTTACGTAAACAAACCAGGTGAGATGTGGCGCCAGTGTTGGGTGTTAGGACAGGGCTGATGAGGCTGATTGAGGTTCAGAGTCTTCTCGTAGCTGTGCAGTTGTGGATTTGTGTGAATTGAATAACATTTGCGAGTGTTGTCAGCATAGCAATAAAAGTCCGTTCAGCGGCGACAAAGGGATATTACCACCACCGCGGTGAGAAACGACTGGAAAGAAAAGTCTTAATCAATGCACATTTGGTCGTTCTGAAACGACTTATCGGAGACGGAGGAGAATAAACAAATACTTCAACATAATTTGGCCCCATATCACAGCTCATTTGTGGCCCGTTTACTCACCAACATCTGTGGTCAGTAAATGTTCTGTTAAAGGAGATTAAACATTATTGCTCCGTCTTATTTGTCCTGGTTTATTGGGAGAACGAGAGCAGATGAGACGTCGTCTACGCTTTGTAATTTGGACGACAGTAAGAGCCGACTAAAACTCTGCGGCCATAAATGTCCAAACCCAAAGTGGCCAGAACTGTTTTATAGACAGCTTCAATTAGGTCTCATTGGCATAGCAATAGCAGCCTAGTATTAAACTGCAGAAATATATACGGCCTCAGGGAAGCGGTTCATATATATGGAGAGAAGAATTGGCTCAGAACAGAGAGAGAGAGAGAGAGAGAGAGAGAGAGAAAATATGCCGTGGACAGAGTCTGACTGTGGTCTGCAGCGCTGCAGCAAAAAAAAAAAACAAACAATAAAAAAAAAACCCCAGAGCTAACCTGAAACATGGGGTAGGTAAGGAAGGTCTCCAGAGTCCTCTCCTCACAGTCGGGCTTGGCCTCGTACTGTTTCAGCAGTTTGTCGAAGTCTCGGTTCTGCTTGCAGTGAGCCAATATCTGCAGGCTGTACTGGTGGTTCCTCACAAACTCCTGGTAAATGTTGAGCATGGGCAGCAGGATGTCGAAGAGGTCAGCTGTGGAGTAACAACGGTGAATAAAACAGGACGGAGAACTCATAAATATGGTAAAAAAAACCCAACATACTCATAAATTTTAAACCAAACATTGAAGATTTTTTTTTTCTTTTTTTCTTACCCAGCACCAAGGTGGGCCAGCTGGCTATTCTGGCCTTCAGACCCTGGTAAAATATCTGATGTAGGAACATGATAGTTTCACTGTGGAGACGGGGGGAGAAATTGAAGAAGAATATTGATTTAGCTTCAGCAGCCCGGCGCTTCCATCACATGTCAAAACGTTCTGAGAAAGATGTTATAATTTCAATAAGTGTCCAACAGTTTAATCTTTACGACTGTGTCTCGTGTTGAGCAGCGGTGACTGTTGTGTGATTTACGTTTTTTAACCTCGGAATTTAACAAGAAACCTGTAAAAAAAAATAGTTGAAGCTTTGTAGCAGGTATGGATCCAACTCTGTGCAATTTTTAAAAATTATTTTTTCCAAAACATTTTAAAGGAACTAGCGTTCAGGATAAGGTTTTTTTTTTAATCCTGTCCAGCTTTGTTCGTTTAAACTCTTTTGTTAAAGAAAAAAAAAAAGTCTATTATTGGCCCTATAATTGAGAAACTCACAGTGTGAGTCTTTGCAACCTACGCAGGTGACCACAGGAGGCGCTATTACGTATGTGGTTTCTCTGGGCCTCAAACCCAGCACCTTCTGGTGTCATAACAGCTACATTATTAGGGTATGTATGTTATAAATTAAAATAAATAAATATTAAATAATTTAATTTTTAATTTATTAAATTTAAATGTTTAAATGTTTTATTATTTTTCCCATCTTCCTGACATTACGTAGAGTTTTTGAAATTACTAAAAACAAACTTACGCTGAACTCGTACTTGTCAGTATTTCGTTTTTTTTTTTTTTGGTAGTTTTTTTGGTTCGAGGTTCTGACCTGTTGAGGAAAATGCTGCTGACGTCATCGTGAGTGATGGGCGGTTTCTTAGAGCTGGCGGCCATCCGCAGCGGCCTCAGGAAGTTGTTGACCAGAATGTGCAGCTGCTGAACGTACTCGGCCTCCGAGTCCAACATGCTGAACACCACCTGGTTCCTCTTCCTCATGCTCTCTGCATGTGGAGAACGGATGTAGTCCTGGATGATGGTCTTCCACTTCCTCCTGCAGATCCAGCCTCGCAGGAAGCTCTGGACCTGAGGAGGGGCAGAACACGGGGTTGAAGAACTCAGGTCCGTCAGCGTCTCAATCATATTTTTGGAAGATTTTATAAGAGCTTTACTTTTTTGATCTTCTTGATTTCTGAGTCGTCCTCAGATGGTGCGGCTGCGGGACTGGCGTGAATCTTCTCGTTATCTTTGAGAAGTCCGGCGATCTACAGACAAAAGACAGGCTGATCAATGTCCATGGAGACATTTTGTTCCACTAAACGCACCAGCACAGTTGTTTTAAATCGATCGAGCTAGCTACAAGTTAGCGACTGAACGTTTTTTTGCTGCTTTTTGAAAATTACAGGACAAATAAGAAAAGTTCAAAGTTAGTGATTAGTTAGTAAATAAAATATTTTTATAATTAACGTAAAATAGCCGTAACAATTAAGTGTCCAAAAATGCTCATTTTGGTAGAAAATTCCCAAAATATCAGCAAATATTTTGGTTAAAAGTTAAAGATCAAACAAGTCAAAATAAATGAAATGCAAAAAAATAGTCAAAATAGGAGAAACAAATAAAAGTTTGACAAAAAAAAAAGAAGAAAAAAGGTCCATGGTAAAATAAATAAAAAACTATACAGGAAGCAGTAACATTTTGACCACAGGAGGCAGTGCAGGTCAAGCGGAAAAAGTCTGAAAAAAAATCTGAAAAATCTGAAAAATCTTAAAACTAAATCAAACTGATCTGTGAGAAAGAAACGCTGACAGTTTTAATTTTTTCGTCATTGTGTTACGATGAGGAACGGTGCAGTTAGCGCTGAAACGTTAGTCGTTCTTTCTTTAGCGGTTGTTCAGGTCTTCAGGTGAATAAAGAAATCGCAGCTGGTGCCCGGCCACCACAGGAGGTTCCTTCCGC